GGGCTGGGGATTCGAACCCGCCACCTTAGGTGTATGTGGCTGGCGCCTTAGCAGCTTGAGCCAGAGGCCCCGAGCCTATGTATCTTCTATGTGAGGTTAGGAACATTGCTTTAGATGCTGGAGATACAGCAGAGAGAAGATCAGGTACAACTCCTGTTTTCTTGGAATTTGTAAAAAAAAGAAAGAAAGAAAGAAAGAAAACCCACAGAAAACTAGAATTTTTTTTTTTTTTGAGACAGAGCCTCAAGCTGTTGCTCTGGGTAGAGTGCTATGGCATCACAGCTCACAGCAACCTCCAACTCCTGGGCTTAAGCAATTCTCTTGCCTCTGACTCCTAAGTAGCTGGGACTATAGGTGCTCACCACAACACCCAGCTATTTTTTTGGTTACAGCCATCATTGTTTGGCAGGCCTGGGCTGGATTTAAACCCTCGAGCTCAGGTGTATGTGGCTGGTGCCCTTAGCCACTTGAGCCACAGGTGCTGAGCCATAGAAGAAAATATTTTGAATTAGAGAGTTCCCATGTTCATCTAGTTAAAAAGAAGGAGGAGACAAAGAGCTGACATGTAACTGTTTAGAAACATGACTCCTAAGAGGCTGGAGATAATTTAATATCTCTCTCCCCCTTTTTCTTCTAGTTAGAAGGGGAAGGTAAAGACTTTTTTGTTCATGAAGAATCTGATTACTAAGAAGTGCCTATCAAGCCACTGGTTGAATTTCCATGAAAAAGTGATTAAGCAGGGAATGGAGAAAAAGGTTGATTTCTGGTGAGTGGTAAGACTTGACAAAAAAGATAATTGAAATGATGGTCCGTATAAAAGTCTGTAAACATTTTTTGTGTGAAAATAATACATTAGCAATAAGTACATAAATAAATTTTCTAAACCACTAGTGAAGTAGGAGCTATGAGTTAGGATTTTTTGGTCATTGATATTTTAAGTTTCTCATTTATAAGAAAATACACATTTCATGCATTATGTTATAGTCAAACACCATTTTGAATGTATGGAAATATCTTTCATTAAAATTTTGATTTTGGCCAGAAGTGAGAATGATTTTCCTGAGGTTATGAGTTATATCATCAGGGTTGGCTGGCTCTTGTATGTTCCCCTGCTTATTGATGGTGGTTGCTTTCAGCCTGCAGTAAAGTTCTTTTCATGCTAAATAGCAAAATCTAACTCTGGCTAGTCTAGGCCAAAGGAAAAAGACAGAGACTGAGGTGTTAGTTCTGTGAACTAACAAGCTTCAGACCCTCGGTGGGCGTATGACTCAGCTGGCCAGCTGTGAGTATCCCATTACCCTGGACATGGCCATTGGTTCAGGGGTGGGCATTTAACCTCATAGGGCCAGAGGCTTTTTCTCTAAGGCAGAGACTGTCATTTAAAGAGAAAAGCCCATCCAATACTGAGAGTGCTATTATAGCAGTTGCAGTCCGCATCATGCAGAGCAATAGGGAGCCTGTGCTGTGGTCGGTAAGCCTGTTAGCACATTCAGAGAAACAGGGAAACCTTCCAATGTTAGGAGACCAGTTCTAGTCCTGGAAACACTTTCTTACTATCTTTCCAAAGTAAATGAGCTAGGAAATTACCTCTTTGTGCCAAATATCTTCTCCAGTTTAACACTTCACATCTAATATTCACACTTATCTGTATCCAGGGACCTCTCATGTCCTGTTGGGTTTGGCCCTGGCAAGAGATAGAAAGGAGAGAGAAGAATGAGGCTGGGGTATTTATAGCCTTGGCTCTCACCTTGCAAGATACTTTGGGTTGGCTTTTCTCTCCAGTGAAGTTCACTGACTCTCTGTGACTCTCTCCTGCTAGGTTCTGGTAGTTGTTCTATCCCCCTTTTTCCCCATGGGCCTAGAGGTGGTACTAACTTAGCTTCTACTTCCTTTGAGTTCCTGCATTGATCCTTGTGGTTCCTCTATACTCAGACCTTTGTACATATGCCATTTTCAAATTATCCTGTTTTTAGCATGTCATCTATTTTCCTTGTGACCTTTCAGAGTTTTTATCATGAATGGTATTCAGTTTTGTCGAATAGTTTTTCTGCATCAATTGATGATTGTGTGGGTTTTGTTCTTCTATTAATAGGGTATATTACTCTACCCTATTTTTAGGTGTTAAACTAGCCTTGTACTTCTGGGATAAAGAAGTCACTTGGTCATAGTGTTTATATGATATGTAGTTTTTATATGCTGTTGGATTTGGTTTGCTAGTATTTTTTGAGAATTTTTGTATCTATAGTCATGAGGATTTTTGTTTGTTTTTTGAGACAGAGTCTATTTATTTATTTGTTTTTTTGAGACAGAGCCTCAAGCTGTCCCCCTGGGTAGAGTGCTATGGCTTCACTGCTCACAGCAACCTCCAACTCTTGGGCTCA